GTTAAATCATATTCCAACGGTTTGTAATAACCCAAATGTCCATCAGAAACTCATTTCCATTCTCTGAACCAGCCTTTAACTGAGCAAACCTATTCTCACTTTTTGCTCTACTTGATAAAGATCTTAACTCATCAAGCCTTAATCATACATCCCTCGCATCCTGCCTAACTCACTTCCCAGAGACTCACTCATTCCCTACTGAGGAAACACAGGAAAAAGAAAAGGAGGCTCCTCAGCCCTGCTAAGGCAGGGGATGGGAAGTCTCCACCATTCCTCCACTGGCTTCTAGGCACCCCAGGGGTGTCCTTCAAGAACAACTTGACTGTCCCCTGCCTGTCACTGTTCCCTGTGTTCATTCCCCTTGGCTCCAGGACCTCCTGTCTCTTCCTCATTCTGAACTCCTTCCAGAATTTTCTATTCAACCAAAATCATCACTTGGCATTTGCCAAAAGTAGCCAGCTTTAGGTCTACAGAAAGAGCCCTGGGAAAAAGGTAACAAGGACAAAGCTTCCATTAACCTCACATTTTACACTATTTCCAAGTTCTTAAGTTCCTCTCTGGAAACCCAAATGAGCAAACCAGTTAGAAAAATGGAACACTGTCTTGACCATGCATCTGAAGTCCAGTCCTTCCATCTCCACACCACTTTCTTTTTCAAAACAAGAGTTTCTCTGTGGCTTTGGATCCTGTCCTGGAACTCACTCTGTAGACCAAGCTGGCCTCGAACTCAGAGATCCTCCTGCCTCTGCCTCCCGACTGCTGGGACTAAAGTCGTGCGCCACCAACGCCTGGCTGGCACCACTTTCTATAGAAAATTCATTTCATCTGTTGTTTAAAGTGTTAAAGTCTGGTCTTGAACAGAAACATAAATAGAATGGCAGGAACCATTCACACTTTCCCAAATGGGACTAGGAAAGGGAGCCGAGAGCACCCCAGAAGCAGAGGAAGAAGAAAGCTATGAAAATGCACACATTAACACAGGCTGCAGCTTACTAGCCATGATCTTGACATAACCTGAGTCCTCTGGCTCCTTTCTTCAGAAGCATCACTGTAGGCTGCTCCTGGAGTTCACAAATGATGTCTAAACTCATACCCCCTTCTCAACTACCTCCAACCTACCTACTTTTTCAGGATCAAGTTCAAGCCTCCTTCAATCTTTATGTATATCTCCTAGCTCAATTTACCATGAACTATATTTGACTCTATAAGCATGCCCCATCTTGCCTTTGGTTTTGTGGTACTGGGATCAATCCTAGGACCTAACAAGCTAAGTAAGAACTCTACCATGGACTATATAAATATATATATATATTTATATATATTTATATATATATAAATATATATATATTTATATATATTTATTTTTATATATTTATATATATATTTATATATATATTTATTATATATATATTTATATAGTCCAGGCCTTGAACTCACTCTGCAGATTAATAGCATAGCAAAGCAGCTGTTAAGAGCACTTGACTGCTCTTCCAGAGGTCTTGAGTTCAGTTCCCAGCAGCCACATGGTGGCTCACAATCTTCTGTAATAAGATTAGATTCCTTCTTCTGGTGTGTGTGAAGACAGAGTTCTCATATACATAAAATATATGAATCAATAAGTCTTAAAAAAAAAATCCCACTTCCAATCCCAGCTTAGGAACTACTGTAGACTAATATCACAACTAAATAGGGTATTTCATAAAGTTGAAATTACAGCCCATCAAACTAAACACAGAAGGACTGCCTCCTACTTGGATCAGAAATGTATCACTTCATATGTGAGAGGGAGAAACAGTAAGTAGAGTCGTGTCAATACAAGTTGATCTTAATACAAGCAAAACAAAAATCCAAACTCCTAATTACTCTCCTCCTGCTTACTGTAATCTCTTTACTCAGGAGGCTGAGGCAAGAAAACTACCACAGATTCAAGGGTAGCCTGGGCTGCACAGTAAGTTCCTGTCTCAAACAAATATATAAACAAACAAAAAGCAGGCGACACCAGGTATACAGGTCAGTAATCACTCTTGACTCCTTTCACTGTGGGTCTGAGTTAATATTTATTTACCATTCCCTAAACAGAAATCTGGAAGCCCAATTATGGATATAGCCAAGAAGAAACATTGGTGGAAAATAATGACAGAAAAAGTCCAGAAGTATGAAATTATGAAGGAAAAAGAGTTAAGTAGATAAAAATCACATGGTACTAGCAAACAGAGGCTACACAGAGCAGGACAAAGGATCAAGGTTCATGACTCAGAACATCAGGATCTAAGACATAAGTTTTTCAAGAAGAGCAGGGTGTTGCATGCCTGTACTGTCAGCCCTCAGGAAGCTGAGGTCAGCCTGGGCTACATAGTGAGTTCAAGGACAGCTAAGATACAAAGGAAAAACATGTCCAAAATAAAAAGACCAAAACCAAAAATGGGGGTCGGGGAGAAAGAGAAAACTGTTTCCAATTTCAAATAAGGACAGACAAACACTAACAACAACAAATTATCTAGAGATGGCTTGAGGGTTAAGAGCACTCACTGCTCCTACAGAGGACCAGAGTTCAATTCCCAGCATACATGTTGGCAGCTCACAACCATCTGTAACTCCATCTCCTGGGATCTGACATCCTCTTCTGAAGGCATCTGCAAGCACGTGCATATACACACATGCAGACATATACATACACACCTGAAGATAAAAATGACTTTTAAACATATTTTTTTTAAATGTCCTAGAAGGGAAAGAAGCAATCTCCTTTCTAATACTGAGTAGCTTAAGATCCAGGTACTCTGGAAAATATATAGACCAGCTCCAGAACCCACAAAGTAAGAGAGAATTCTCATAAATTGCCCAATGGCCTCCATGCATGTGTGGTCCCATACACAGACACACAATAAATGCAATTGGGGGGGGGGACTGAGATAGGGTTCTTTTTGAAACACTCCTGGCTATCCTGGAACTCACTTTGTAGACCAGGCTGACCTCGACTCAAGTGCTACCAAGTGCTGGGATTAAAGGGCCAGCCTTGTATTACTAAGTTTATAATACTGAGTTGAATAGCACTTCTAAGGTTTTACCAATAAGCACTGTTCTCCAGATTAATACATACACTTTGGAGGTTGTTTATCAAAAAGCCTTCCTGCTGGGTATGATGTTTCACACCTGTAATCTCAGCACCCAGCAGGCTGAGGCAGCCTGGACTACATGTGTTCCAAGGCAGCCTAGACTACAGAAAAACAGAGAGAGCACATGGGAAGAGGAAAACTCTTAGGTCTAGATCTCTAGTCTAGTCTTTTCCCTTCTCTATGCCATTTCCCACTCCCCTCTTCCTTTTCTCTTACTTCAGATTCCTACCAACCTCAAAGTTAAATTTTGTCTGCTGCCTGGAGTCACAGAGAAAATGCTATTTGGGGAGTCCTATGCCTTTCTCTTTTCAAGTCTCTAGACCAGTGGTTCTCAACCTTCCTAATACTGTGACACATTATTGCAGTTCCTCATACTGTGGTGACTCCCAGCCATAAAATTATTTTCGTTGCTACTTCATAACTAATTTTGCTACTGTTATGAATTGTAATGTAAATGTCTGTTTTCCAATGGTTTTAGGCCATTGGACTAAGGTGAAAGTCGTTTGATCCAGGGGAAGCTACTTACAGGATGAGAACAACTGCTCTAGACCAAAACGTTTCTAGAACTGGCAAGTGACAGAAAAATACTAAGAAAAACATTGCTACCACCCTGTAGATTTCTTCCTTCCATCTCTGGAACACATCCTCAATAATTTCCGCTCTTTCGAATTATAAATAAGAAAGGGCGGACTAGGACTGAATTCCTTTTGAATTTCTAATGTGTTGTCTGTTTCTACCTAAGCCTGGCCATTTAGTGTCTCACATAATCTCAGAGTTTCAAAGCGGATCAGGAAAGCAGAGGACCCAGATGTTTGTTAACTTTTCTCTCCTTCACTACGCTACTAAAGGGAGGGGCGCGGAGAGCCTTCGGATAGTGTTCGTAGGCGAAGAAGGCAATTCCAGGATTTAAAAGCTGATGGGGGCGAGAGGAATGAGCTTTTTAAAGCCAAGGGAGCTAAGGATTCTTCCTGGCAATCAATTTTTCTTTTGAACCAAAAGCGCTTGCCGAGGTGGCAACACCAACCGGAGCAGCCAAAAGGTTGCATCATGTAAAAACGCGCCGCGCTTGAGAAACAAGAAAACCAGATGGTGGTAAAATACCGGACAGGAAAACCCAAGTCGGGAATCTCCGTCTGTCTTTCCCGGAAGCCCTGGGGCATCCACCCTTCTTTTCGCTTTTGCTTTTCCTTTACTTTTTTTTTTTTTTTTTTTTTTTTTTTTCCTGTTGTCTGGGGTTTTTGGGGTGTGTACCAAGGGCTCACATTCACATTTGTAGCCCTTACTGGACTCGAACTCGAGGCACTCAAGCCTCAACTGCTGGGTCATAGCCTAGTCACCACGCCCGCATGGGGGGGGGAACCTCCCCTCCCCCGTGGAGGAGGAGGGCAGGGTTGAGGGGTCCCAAGTAACCCAGGCTGAGCCAAGGCTAAGTCTGAACTCCCAATCTCCCTGGCTCCCCCTTCCCTGTTGCTGGGTTTAAGGCGTGCGCCACCCAGCCCCGCTCCCGGTTTTCCCCTTTATTTTAACATTGCATCGAAATGAAAGTTTCAGTTTCACACCAGCGGAGCGCCAGCGTTCGAGTAAGTTGAGCGAGCGATCAGCCCGGCAGCCCGAGACTGGGGCTCCGCGGGCGGGGTGGGGTCGGACAGGGCGAGGAGGGTGACAGGACCCACGCGGCGAGGCGCGTCCCGCCTTGCGGAGTCGGCTCTCTGTCGCCGCACCCGCAGGATCCGCCAAGGTCCCGCTGCGAGGCGGGAAGGCGCGGGGCCGAGACAATGGGAAGGGGCGCGGGAGGCACGGCGCTGCCTCGGGCCGCGGGGACGCCGCGTGGGGGCGCTTCGGGGACGTGGGGGACACGGGCCGCCCGAGACGGCGAGCGCTCACCTTGACGAAGAGCTCGATGAGGGGCTCTTTGTCCTCCTCCTTCAACCCGTTCAGGGGCATCGACAGCGCCATGGCCGGCTGGGCTGGGCTCCGCGGACGGTGGCTGCGGCTGTGGCTCCGGGGTTGCTGTGGCTGCGGGTTCCCGCCGCGCTCGCTCGCTGGCTCGCTCACTGGACAGTCCCGCCCCGGCCTCAAGCTGCCCGCGGCCCGGATCCTCAGCACCGCCTCACGCCTCACGCGCGACTCGGAGGGGGTTGCGGTCCCAGCCACTTCAAACCGCTGGGCGGGCCCGGCGGGCGTGGTGTGGGCGGGGCAACAGCCCGGCGCCTCTGGACTCTGCGGGGGAAGTGGGCGTGGCGGGCCCGAGGGGCGTGGCCTCAGGCGAGGAAGGCGGGGCGGGGGGGGGAGCCTTAGCTTCAGCGGACCGGCCACTGCGGAGCCAGGAGGACGCCGCGGGGCGCGGCCTAGGCTGGCCAGCGCGGATAGGTGGGGCGATCCCCGAGCCACGCCCCCCAGGGGAGGGAGGGAAAGGCCCCCGGAGCCGGAGCCTGACACCGCCTCCCTCCGGGGCTCGCCCGCGTCCTCCGCAGCTGCTGCTGGTTGGGTGCCAGGTGACCTCATACGGTGGCCCTTCTCGCGCCCTCTCCCCCGCTGCTGCCGCGGGACTCATCATCATCCCCGCCCGGTCCCGGGGCGGCGGCCTCCTCGGTTCCTTCTGTTAGGCGCGGCCGCCTTTTCCTGGAAAACTTTTGCGAAAGTTTTCATGTCCTTAAGAAGAACTTTTTCCTAACTCTGACTGCGGACTTCCTCTCAGGATGCTTTTCTATTAGATGTCAAAATACTCAAAAATTCATATATAGCCGTGCTCCGAGTTAGGCCGAAAGGATGGGACAGGATCCTGCTCCACCATAACCCCGGTGCCTGAAGCAGCGCCAGACTTCTAAATCGCTGTCCATGCTGTTTGCACCACCTGTACCGATTCCTTTCCTCAGTTCACCTGGAGAATTTTCAGTGCGCATTAGAGCCACCTGAATGGCGCCCTCAGCGCGCAGGGGCCAGAGTACTTTGGACCCTGAGGGCAGAGACCAGAAAGACACGTGGTCTGCTGTGGAATGCCTGGGGTGAATGTCACCTCTGGAAAACGTGCCTTCTGGCTTTCCTTAATCTAGTCATTCTGCGTACTTCCCAGGTTAGGGTGATGAGTGAGTTGATTAGAAAGGCCAAATGCGGGGACTACAACGACAAGTATCTTGAATCCTGGTGTGGATCAGAATGCTTCAACAAACTGGAATGATGTGTGAGCACAGGATGCAACTTGCAACTTACCCTCACCTCCTCATTCAATCCAATGCAAGTTACTAGATTCTCTCTGAAAGGGATGCTGTCCTCAGCAATTCCAGCAATGCTCTGAAATGCAACTGTTTTAAATTCACAGTTTGACGATAACCTTAAAAGACCCTTAACCTCCTCTGCCTGACTTAGTGACACATGCATGGCTCTCAGAAGGCTCAGGCAGGAGAGCTAAGGGTTTGAGGACAGTCTGGATAGATTGCAATTTGATTTTGGGGAAACTCACTTAAAGGCTGAAGGAGAAAACCAACTCAAAGTTGTCCTCTGACTTCCACATGAATAACATGACACACATACAACATTTTTAAAAGTTAAGTCCCCACTATGTAGTTAAGGCTGGCAAACTCCAAGATCTGCCTGTCTCTGCCTCCACTTCCCAAGTGCTGGGGTCAAAAGTGTCCACCACCACACCACCGCAACCAACAATAATAGTAATTTTGTTTTTTGAAGACAGGTGGTTTTGTTTGGTTGGTTGGTTGGTTGGTTTTGGTTTTCTGAGACAGAGTTTCTCTGTGGCTTTGGATCCTGTCCTGGAACTAGCTCTTGTAGGCCAGGCTGGCCTCGAATTCACAGAGATCCGCCTGCCTCTGCCTCCCAAGTGCTAGGACTAAAGGCATGTGCCCATAGAGGCAGGGTTTCTCTATGTAGCCCTGGCTGTCCCAGAACTTGAGATGTAGACCAGGCTGGTCTTAAACTCAACAATCTGCCTGCCTCTGCCTCTGCCTCCTTAGTGACTTTTAATTAGACTAGGGATGTAGGTCAGTTGGTACACTGTCTGCCTAATATGCTCAAAGCCCTGAGTTCAGTCCCCAGCACTGCATAAACTGGGTGTGTCATCCCTGCACTCCAGAAGTGGCAGCAGGAGGTCAGGGCTTTAGGGGCAGCCTCAGCTGTATGAATGTGAAGCCAGCCTGGGTTATAAGAGACCCTATCTCAAAAAAACAAAAACCCAAGACTTCCTTTCAGTATCTAGACTAGCAGGGTGGTGCTGGTTACTGCCTTGACTAGTTAGGGGGAGCTGATACCTCATGATGAGGCAGGTATCACATTCAACTCAGTGATAGTTTGTTGAAAAGTAAGAAGATAGTCCTGTAGGCCAAAATGTGGCCCAGAAACAAACCAAAGTAAAGGCTGGACTCTGAACTGGGCCTTGTGTTAATTTTTCACAGAACTGTGAGCTGATTAAAGTTCCCTCGCAGCCTACCCTTTCCACCATGATCCTAAATGGTAAGTTCAAAACACAGGCACACCTAAAATGACCCAGCACAGCCTAAAAGACCCCAGACTGGCCCAAAGATGTGCATGAATCCACTGGGTCCCATTTAGGTTTAATCCAAGTTACTTTGTGCTGGGCCCACGCTGGCCCACAGTTCTCCAGCAGAGAGACCCACGCTGGAAACAGGAACACAGTAGGGCTGTGTTGAGTCTTCCTGTTCTTTGCTTAAATACAAATCTTAAGTAGAAGGGAACCTGTGACATTCTCCTCCAAGCCCTAAGGTGTGTGATCCCCAGGACTGCCCCTGTCCACCTGTACACCCTCAGGCCCTGGCTCAGACCTGAAGCCTGTGCCTGGGAACCTGGTCACAGACATGCCTAGGGGGTCCCAGTATCTGCTCTGATGTTCACGAGCAATGGGAGGACTGGCCTGGGAAGGGGAAAGGAAGAGTGTTTATACTGGGAGGTCCCATAGCACCTTGTGTCCAACTTTTAAAGACAAGACCGTTTTACATCTGCCCAGTGTTCCTGTTTGTTTTTATAACAGAGAAATGGTGATGGGTGGAGGTGTGTTCTCCTCCACACACACCCCGCTGACCTCATCCCCTCCACTCTCCCTTGTGAGCCCCACCCCAGCCCCACCTGCCTTCTTCCTAGTCCATGGACGTATCAAGCACACGGCTGCCTCAGGGCCTTTGCTCTCATCTACCTCTGAACCCTTTGTCTACCAGAACTCTTGCACACGTCCCTCAGCTCTTTGCTCGATTGTAACTTCTTAGCAGTCTCACTAAAGCTGGGTGGAGTAGTGGCACACTCACTTTTGATCCCAGCACTCGGGAGGCAGAGGCAGGCCAATCTCTGTGATCTTGAGGCCAGCCTGGTCTACAGAGTGAGTTCCAGGACAGCCAGGACTGTCACACAGAGAAGCCCTGTCTCAAAAAAAAAAAAAAAAATGAAGTCTCACTAGGTACCACCTGTGCATTGTGGGTACTACCAACACTCGCCCAGCCTCTGTTTACTTCCTCTCCAGAAGTGTGTGTGTGTGTGTGTGTGTGTGTGTACTGTTGTATGTATAATGTAGGTGTACACTGTGTGTGTATAGTGTATACTGTGTGTATATATATGTATGTTGTGTCTATATTATATGTATATATACTGTGTGTATGTGTATAATGTGTATATATGTGTATTTTGTGTGTGTGTGTGTATGTGTGTGTGTATTCCTAGTATATAGTCCTAGGTGGCTTTAACTTGACACAGCCTAGACTCATCTGAGAGGTCTCAATTGAAGAATTGCCTAGATCACATTGGCCTGTGTGCACATCTGTGAGGAATTCCTCTGATTATAATTGATACAGGATAGCCAAGCCCACTGTGGGCAGCGGGTCCCTGCAGGTGGTCCTGGGTTGTATAAGAAAGCCGACCTTGTGTGAGTGAGCTGAACCATGAGTCAGCCAGCGAGCAGCGTTCCATGGCTTCTGCTTCAAACTCCTGCCGGAGTCCCAGCCCTGACTTCCCTCAGGGAAGGGTTGTGACCTGAAAGCTTAAGCTAAATAAATCCTTTCCTCCCCTAAGTGGCTTCTGGTCTTGTTATTTGTCACAGCAACAGAAAGGGAACTAACATACTGCTCCCCAGTAGCACACACACTTCTCTGGGGGAGACGTTTGCTGGGTTTCAGCGATGACTACGTTCCTTAATATCCCTGCTTAGTCAATAAGAGGGTACACAGGATGACAGAGCCCTGCGGTTGGGTGACTCTCCTGGGGAGACTTCATTTCCAATAGGGAGGGAGGGGACAGAACAAAGAAAACCCCTGTCAGGTCCACCTGGTGAATTACTGAGTTTCCTGGGATACTTACAGGGACAAGAGTGACTCACAAACAGCTGCCAGCATGGAGAAGTCCCACCCTAGTCTGTAGCCTTCTAGGTCCTCAGCATGTCTAAGATGACATGGCCAGGGCAGGAGGGAGTGGTGATTGCAATCTCAGGGGAGGGTCCTGGGATCTCCTTTCTCAAAGAGGGAATGTCAACAGCCCCAATACCTTAGGCTTAGGTGTCTCCTGTATAGGTTTGTTTCTTCCGTTGCTATGACTGCAGGTCAAGGTCTTCTGTGGGTCACCACAGCTGCTCTCTCCATGATGGCCATGGTCACACCAGGCCTGCAGGAAACAATCCACCACATCAACCATACTACAGACCTATCATGTACCTGGGCACATGGCCTAACCACCAGGAACCAAAGGTTCCTGAATCCCAGCGCTTGGAGACTGAAGCAGGAAAGCATCTGCCAGCTCTAGGCCCCTCCAGTCTATCTAGTGAGACCCTGTGTCTAAAAAAGCAAAGGGAGGGGCCAGTGAGATGGCCCAGGCACTTGACACTTTAGCCTGGCAACCTGAGTTTGAATCCTAGAACCCACATAAAAGTGGGGGAGGAAAGGGGGCTGGAGAGATGGCTTAAGGGTTGAGATCACCTGCTGCTACATGAGATGTGTGATCTAAGTAAATAAATAAATACCATGTCAAAACAGGTTGGGTTTTCCAAAGCACAAGCTGGGATGTCCAGTGAGCTCTCAGCAGGCTGATTGCCTGGTTCCATCCGATCCTGATTGTCATTTACCAGCTTAGGTTGGCTTACTGACACTCTCTGTGCTCTGTAAAGCAGGTCTAAATTGGAACCTGTAGT